AAAACAATTTAAAAAAGTAGTTAAAAAAAAGAAGAGAGCAACCAAACCAATAAAGAAATCCACGAGTGATAACAAGTGCTAAAAACTAAACTAGGATAACCATATAAATCAGAAACCAGTCAGTCACATACAGCAAACCCCAAGTCTACAGTTGCTCCCAAAGTCCACTGCCTCAATTTTGGGATGATTTGTTGTCTATTCAGGTTTTCCACAGATGCAGGGTACATAACGTTGATTGTGGAGATTTAATCCGTTGCTTCTGAGGCTGCTGGGAGAGATTTCCCTTTCTCTTCTTTGTTTGCACAGCTCCTGGGGTTCAGGTTTGGATTTGGACCCGTCTCTGCGTGTAGGTCACCTGAGGGCGTCTGTTCCTGCCCAGACATGACGGGGTTAAAGGAGCTGCTGATTAGAGGGCTCTGGCTCACTCAGGTCTAGGGGAGGAAGGAGTACAGAATGTGGGGCGAGCCTGCCGCACCGGCAGAAGCTGGTGTGACATTGCGCCAGCCTGAGGTGTGCTGTGTATTCTACCGGCGAAGTTGTCCCTGGATCACGGGACCCTGGCAGTGGTGGGCTGCACAGGCTCCTGGGAGGGGATGTGTGGATAGTGACCTGTGGCTGCACACAGGCTTCTTGGTGGCGGCAGCAGCAGCCTTAGCGTTTCACGCCCGTCTCTGGGGTCCGTGCTGATAGCCGCGGCTCGCGCCTGTCTCTGGAGCTCGTTTAGGCAGTGCTCTGATTCCCCTCTCTTCGGCACCCCAAAACAATGGTCTCTTGCCTCTCTGGCAGCTCCAGACTTTTTCCCAGACTCCCTCCCGGCTAGCTGTGGCTCACTAGCCCCCTTCAGGCTGTGTTCACGCAGCCAACCCCAGTCCTCTCCCTGTGATCCAACCTCCAAAGCCGGAGCCTCAGCTTCTAGCCCCCGCCCGCCCTGGCGGGTGAGCAGACAAGCCTCTTGGGCTGGTGAGTGCTGGTCGGCACCACTCCTCTGTGTGGGAATCTCTCTGCTTTGCCCTCCGCACCCCTGTTGCTTTGCTCTCCTCCACAGCCTCGAAGCTCCCCCTCTCCGCCACCCTTAGTCTCCGCCTGCGAAGGGGCTTCCTAGTGTGTGGAAACCTTTCCTCCTTCACAGCTCCCTCCCACTGATGCAGGTCCCGTCCCTATTCTTTTGTCTGTTTTTTCTTTTTACTTTTGCTCTATCCAGGTACGTGGGGAGTTTCTTGCCTTTTGGGAGGTCTGAGGTCTTCTGCCAGCGTTCAGTAGGTGTTCTGTAGGAGTTGTTCCACATGTAGATGTATTTCTGATGTATTTTTGAGGAGGTAGGTGATCTCCGCGTCTTACTCCTCTGCCATCTTGAAGGTCCTCTCAAAATATTTCCTATTATTTGGCTCTTTAGGGAGAATCATGCTGACTCTTGCTTTTTATCTAAGTCTTTTGTAGACAGATCATGTTCAAGTTATGGTGGAGGTTTATGTGGTTGGTATTTTTGTGTTTAATTTTCCATTCTGCTTCATTCTAAGAAAGAAAACTTTAAATCATTTTGAGTGTTAGTTTCCAGCTTTCTCATCAAAAGTAGGTATAATACCACCTTACAGGGTTGCTATGAGGAGTCAATGAGAAATGTAAATAAAATCCTTACCAGAGTGCCTGGCATCCCGGAGGAATTCAAGTGGTGGGGAGATATAATCAGGGAAAGTCTAGGTGTCTATTTGGGTGATTTAGGATGGCATGTTTTTAGAGATTCTGATTTGTCCACAGAGCTGGCTGTGGAAGCCTCGTGTATCCAGGTTCTTAATATAACATTGCTGATTAACTTCCCTCCATCCTTTTCTTCCTCCCTCCTTTCCTGTGTCCCTCTTTCCCTTTCTCTTTCCCCTCCTCCTGCTGACCTTTGTATGTTGCAGGAAAAATGGGGTGTGAGAGCTTGGTCATGTCCCAGCTCTTGGGTGAGTACCTGGGCTGGGCCACCAAGTGAGAGTCCTTGACTTTGTGCAGGAAAAAGTTCAAGAGCAAACAAGCCATAGTAAAATGAAAGCAGGTTTATTTAGAGAGAGACACACTCCATCTTAGAAGGTGAAAGATGGCCGCAGGACATGGAGTCCTCTTGAAAAGTGAGTGGTGCTGGGCTGTGGTGGGTGGTTAGTTTTTATGGGCTGGGTAATTTTGTATGCTAATGAGTGGGAGGGATATTCTAATTTCCAGGAATTGGGACACCACCTACTTTTTGGCCTTTTACAATTGGCCTGGGAACTCTCATGGCACCTGTGGGTGTGTCATTTAGCATATGCTAATGTATTACAATGAGTGCATAATGAGGCTCAAGATATACTGGAAGTCAAATCTTCTGCTATCTTGGGCCTAGTAGGTTCTAGTCAGTTTTGGTCATATCCTTTTCTTCTTAATGGTTGTGTAATTCTTTTAATGGTTGTGCCCTGCCCCCTTTCCTTCCTGTCTCAATACCTTTCTCTCCTCTGTTTCCTTTTTGGTATATGTAAGCATTGGTACTAAATTTAGTTGGTCAGTAGAGACTTGTAGAGAGTATGCAGAGAACCTAACACATAGAGGATTTTCCATTATTCTTAGTTCCATTCTCCAGGAAAAAAGAGGAACTCTATCATCTTGTGATCTCCCTCCCTGCCCTCTTTATTCTTATATGGTAATGTGTATTAGCAGCTATGTAGGTATATGTAAAATCCATTCCTACCACAGCAAATTTTAGGGCAGATCTTCAGTTTTGTCTTACCCCATGATGCCAAGGACTCACTTTTAGACAAGCATGGTTTTCTTCTAGAAGACAGGACAGATAGATGATAGCTAAATTCTCCCTAACATTTTGAAGGAAACTTGAAGATCTAGTGATGATAAAATTGACCCTAGCAGTCTTACACTGCAAGCACTCACTTAGTTGTTTTCTTGTTTCATGAAAACATAAATTTAAATTTACTTGACAGGTATTTTTAGAAGATTAATTTGAAAACTGAGACCTAACCCTTTCAAGTTATTCTAAAACAACATTAATATAAATGAGAGCAAGGAAAAAGAATCGTAGAATATTTTTTGTTTTTGTTGGCATTATTATTATTTTATGGTTGCATTAATTTTGTAGGTGTCACAAGAAAACATATGGAAAAGAGGTGTTAGTTATAGCATTAGCAGACCCATAGATAATAGTTAACAATTATCCACATTTCTTAAGGTTTTAGGCCCCCTCATTTGAAAATGTTTTTATCTGTAGTGAATTTAATTCTATTTTTAATTCAACTAAATTCTTTTGTTTGTGGTTAAAAAAGGAGTTAAAATCAGTGAGAATTTCTCAATGAATGTTCCTACCTTTTTAAAGCTACTGACTGACCTAAATTTAGTTCCAGTGCTTAGATACATCAGAAAGGAAACAGAGGAGAGAAACTTATAAAGATCAGTAGGAAGAGAGGAAAGAGAAAGGGAAAGAGGGACACAGGAAAGGAGGGAGGAAGAAAAGGATGGAGGGAAGTTAATCAGCAATGTTATATTAAGAAACTGGATACACTAGGCTTCCACAGCCAGCTCTGTGGACAAATCAGAATCTCTAAAAACATGCCATCCTAAATCACCCAGAAAGGCACCTAGACTTTCCCTGATTATATCTCCCCACCACTTGAATTCCTCTGGGGTGCCAGGCACGCTGGTAAGGATTTTATTTACATTTCTCATTGACTCCTCATCGCCACCCTGTAAGGTGGTATTATACCTACTTTGATGAGAAAGCTGGAAACTAACACTACAAATGATTTTTTTTAAAGTATTAAACCCAAATTTTATATATCACCATTCCATTAAAGGTAATGTGTCCTTCCTCCTTTCTCATTTATTTTACAGTAAGCTGAGATTTTTGGTAGAGGGAGATATTAATCCCAATCCTCTGTGAGTCACACAGGGACATTAAATGATTTTCTTAGAATTGCAGTTTGAGTCACTGTAAAGTTAGGGACATAAATTTGAATGTACCTTGTTTTGTCTATTTATAGGAACCAGACAGTGGGGTTTAACAAGTAATTTTGTGTCTGGAAATAGGTAGATAATGTGGAAAGTGAGAGACTGTTTAGTTTAAAAAAATTTTTTTTGAGAGGTTAAGAGTTTTATCTTGCCAGGATACAGGGAGAGAGGGGGGAGAGCTGTATGTCTTGGGGAAACATAACTCAAAGGCATATAGTTAGTATTAGCATTCTGTTTGCTTGTATATGAGAAAAACCAATAACATTGATTTAATCTGTGAAAGAAGAAAGAGCAGGGGGGTGGTGGGGGGAGAAGAAAAAAAGACATATTTGGGAATAGTGAATTTTGTTTGTCTTTCTTTGTTAACCTGCTGATGAACTGTCAGCTAGTGAAGAGACCAGCCCTTGGGCAGCTGGGTGGATCATCAAGGAAAACAGTTTTAGTTGTTTATGAATTCTCTGGAAGACTTCGGGGTTTTTAACAGTGACTGGCACGTAAGAGGTTGTCTCTGTACTATGTCTGCTGCCATCCTCGTTAGCATTTCCATGCCAGGTTTGCATCAGCATTTCTCACTTGCTTTAATTATGGTCTTGTTTCTATGCTTTTTTTCCTTCATTTTGTATTCTTTGGTGTGTTAGATGGTCTTTCCAAAAGTTAATGCTCCTTCTTGCTGAGGTTATGTTTGCTGTTGTAAACCATTATTTTAACATTGTGTGCAAGTAGTTTGTTAGTTTTCAGATCAAAAGGTCTTAGGCTGTTTGTGAGTGTATGGGAGATCTGAACCACAATGTTTAAAGTGGATGCAGTGGATTTCTTTAGTCAGTTATCTAGATGAGATTAGTAAACCAACAAACAATATTTACCCTGAGCAGTTTTTGTTCTTTTACCTTACTGTTGCTTTGAAAGTTTAGGTTATGATTTTGGAGTATTTTGCAGATTGTCTTTTCTGTAGTCAGACCTGCTGTTTCTGTGCACTTTATCTTTGATGAAGAGTGGGGAAAAATCTGACGGTAAATTCTGTTTTCTTACAGTCAAAGGCCGTTGGTTTGCTAGATGTGGATGTGTATGGCCCTTCTATTCCGAAGATGATGAATCTGAAAGGAGACCCAGAATTATCACAGAGTAAGTGAAGAAGAGAGAAGCAGTATGACAACAGTTACACTTCTGTTTAGTGCCTGCGGAGTGTCAGGCATTGTGTCACGCACCATGTGTACCTTATACACACTATAATATAATTCCGAAATCAGATGCGGGGCCAGACTGTCTGGGTTTAAATTCTAACTCTGTCACTGATTAACTGTGTCGCTTTGAATGAATTGTTCAACCTCCTTGTGCCTCAACACCCCCATGTGTACATAGCGTTAACAGTTGTACTTACCAGACAGAATTGCTGTACATAATCGCTCAATTACAAAGTTGTCGTAAGTGTAGTGCATTCAAAGCACAGTGCTTGGCACACCACAAGTGGTCAGATTCAGCTCATCATCCTCTCTGTATATAAAAATGTGTGAATGTATGGGGGTATTTGAATAGAAAGTATCTAATATATTTGTGTTAGAAGAGCTGAAAATTATTTTCTCTAATCAGATATTTGTTATATTTGTCTTAAAGTGTTTTTGAAAAAACCATAGAACTTTAGTTTCTCTCCCCAGCCTTCACTGCCATCAATAGGACAGAGTAATTTTTTGAGTAAATCTTTAATATTTATTTAATATTATTTATAATTAACATAATAAATAATATATTATTTTATATTTATTTATATATTTAATATATATTTAATATATATTTATATATTTTATATACATTTAATGTTATATATATATTTAATATTATATATAAATATATATTATATAATATATAAAAAACTAAATATATATAATTATATATTTTATATATATTCGATATTATATATATATTTAATATTAATATAAATTAATGTTTATGATAATATTATTTAATATTATTTAATATTAATATACCAAATCTTTAATATTTTGAGTAAATCTTTAATATTACAAGATTATTTAATAATCTTGTTATTATATTTTCTTACAAAGCTATTAAGTATAAAGCTTTAAGAACAGGGAAATTCTATGATCAAAAAATGAAAAATTGGAACAACTGGTAACTCTTCTTGAAAAATAGTTTTCAGTGAAATTAGTTTATTAAAATTTATTTCTAATTATAGTAAGAGTATAAAATTGAATAATTTCTTTTGTTTCTTATTAGACCTTTTATTGTCCATGAATCTAGGACAAAATGCCTGTATTTAATGCAGGGTATTTATTGGATTTTCTGTGTACATAATAGAAGTTTTTTTTTTTATCATTGTCATTAAAAGTTAGGTAATTAGACATTGTCTGCTATTTAAGGTGCTTTTGTTTGTGCTGTAGTTGTTGAAATCAGTCACGTTAAGTTCTGAATAACCATTTATCAGATAATAAGGATTCTCCCTATCACTTTGAAGGAAACTTGAGACTCTAGTGATGATAAAATTGACCCTATCAGTCCTACATTACAAGCACCCACTTAGTTGTTTTCTTGTTTCATTATAATATAAACTTAAGGAAGCTAAGTTATTCTAGTTTCTTTGTTCTTTGCCCTTTTAGTGGAGTGTATACTTAGTTTGCAAATATGTGCCGTGAGCCAAAATGTCAAACTTACATAAAGGAGTAATGAATTTGTGTACTTTAAATGATAGACTTGTTATATCTATCTCTTGATTAAAGTAATGTGAAAACTAGTGCATGTAGCACATGAGTGATAGCAAAATGGAGCCCTTGGTGTCAGTTTTTTCTTAAGTAGTCTGTTCAGTCTATGCCAATGTAAATACTTGAAGTGAACTTTGATGTCTTTCTTCTTGTTTTACAGAAGCTGTAATCTTAAATTTGATGTTTGCAAATTGGCTGCCATTAAATAGGCTTTCTGGTAAAAATGAGCTACTGGAAATCTTGGAAAGCCTGAAAATAATACTTTTTTGTGTGTTGACAAGCTGATCTTAAGTCCCCCAAGAAATAAACTGAACGATTAAGGCATTTACTTAAAAGAATGTGGATTCTTGAAAGCCCATCTTTTAAATTGGTTTTTGAATCTTAGATAAACCAGCCACCATTATACTAATTGGCATCATTTTGACATTTTTACATTTTTGTCAAGTTAATTTATCCTGTATTACTCTCTATTATAGAAAACACAATGCACCGTGGAATTATCTAATTAACAATAAGAAAAAAGATTTGTTTTCAGCAGTTCAGATTTTGCAGAGATAGAATGGGTGAGCAGAATCTTAGCTTTATAAATGTTCCTCTGTTCCTGGACTTAGCTAGACAACCATAGGGGCAGTGGGACTTCAGGATTGTCTTTCTGTCTTCATTATTTAAGCAGACATATGGTAATGTAGTTTTGGTCAACTTGTTCATTTTAAAACTCCATGTTAAGGTTGACAGATTCATTCTCTTATATATTTTTTCTTTTTGAGGAGACTATAGAGAAACCACAGTTCTTGTACTTACGATATTTTAGCCTGATTACCAAGTGAAATTTTACATATGATTCTAGAGAAGTGAATTCAGTAATTGAAGAAAAATTTAAGTTTATAATAGTTTTGGATTTCTTAGGTTGGGAATATTTCTATCAGCTTAAAATGACAATAGTGTTTTGTCTATGTTAGTATGCAAAATTATGGTAATGGAAAGTCTAGCCAGTTTGTAGAAAGAGTATTGTACAGAAACCTCAACAGGTTGACATTATAGTGGCTGCAAGTGAACAGTTGCTTTGGAAACCTAATGGAATTTAGAATAAAATCCATGTGTAGTTTGAGAAATTATCATCTAAGTGTGGATTAACTTTTTTTTTTTAAAGAACAAATACCAGTCATTTTTCTCTTTTTTAACCTTCTAAATAACATAATATGCAGATTTCATATTACAGTATAGCCAAAGTACGGTCCTAGAAATTATTGACTAGAAAGGTTTTAAACTGAAATTGCGAGTGAATATTAAATGGTGGTTGCACACAGAAATGTACTGTTAATTCATTAATGTAATATTCTTTTTTGTTGAGGATTTTTCACTAAGTTTTCTCAAGTGACTTTTACTGGTAGGAATCTGCTTTCTTTCACAGTTTTGTGATGATAAATCACCTTCAGAATTCTTGTGAATTTTTTACTACTTAGTTTTACTAAAGAATGTCTTTTAGTGTACTTAGCTAATAAAGTAGGAAAATGTTAAGGCCTGTGGAGAGAGGTTACTAAAATTGCAATGTCAAGTAATTTTATTGAGGATGACACAGTGATCATTAATGATTGACTATGAGACTTTTTTTTGAGTAGGATTCACTTTTCTTTTGTTGTGGGCTAGAAATTTTGCACTCATGTCACAGTATTCTGCTCTCTCTGTCCTAAGGTATTAAGCATTTTCCAAGTTTAGGAATGAATGTGTGTATGGGCTTATGAGACAGAGAAAATGTGGAAAATCAGCTTGGGCAAATGACCTTTAATAATAGCACTCATCTCCAGTGAGAACTACCAGGAAGTGACTAAGATTTCTTTGAGATAATTTAAGCACATAAAGAATGAGCGTGAATTCTACTCATTCCTGAAATTACCTTGTTTCCTTCCAAGGCAGAGAGTTAGGGGTTTACTGAAGTTATTGACATAGATGATTAAATTCTGATCCAGTGGTTGGAGCTCCCAAAGCTTCTCATTTATAATTTGCTTCTTCTGGTCATTGTCTTGTGGACCCTTGGGTTTCATCTGACGCTAGAGTTCCTCTGATTATCTTTGGGAAAGATTCTGGGATGTATTCCATAATCACAGTGTTATAGAAATGACTTTTTTCTTGCTGGCTTCCTGGATTTTGTTTACAACCTCTTTTATACCTAGAATATTAAAGCAAAGTGTAAATCAGGGTTGAAGGATCCTTAAAAAGTTGTTTTGGTTTGTTCTGGCTTTAGGCACTTTTATCTTTAAAATATCTCAGAGATGAGATCTATGTTCTTTGAAGAATCCTATCACCTTACTTTATCAAGACAAAAGTCCATCCTTTGCTTGGCTTATTGTTTCTTGCACAGGTCACTGAATAGGCTGAACTAAATACCATTTTAGTGTGGTAAAACCCTTTTCCTTTTTTCTTTGACAGTCCTGAGCTGAAGAATAGGCAGCCTCTTTTTGGAGTTCTACTTGCTCTGCTGCAAACCGTCTTAGCCAGGGGCTGCAGCAGATGAAGTCATTGAAGAATGCTTTATTTATCTACAGAACAACTAAGTGTATTTTAGTAGCTATTGCCTGTTAATTTTTGTTTTCTTTCACAGGATGGCAGCAAATGGTGTTGACCGGATGTATCTGTGTATATGTCAAATAGTCCTTACATCTTTGAGTTTCTGATTAGCACCTGCCCCACGACAAGACTGGTGTCCTTTTATGCCTCCTTCACTTTTTGAGTTATATCAGAGGGCTGCCCTTAAGATGTGTAGATTAATAGGACGGTACATTTTAAATGTGGCTATATCTTTTAAGGCTATTTATACTTCATATTATCTTTTCCAGTCTAGTCCCAGACTGGAAAAAATGTTTTTTGTTTTTTTTTCTTATTTCCTAATCTTTTGATCATTTTTAATGTTTCTCAACATTATCAGCACATTTTCAATATCTTCTCTCAGATGAGAAAAATTAAAAGAAGCTTACTACTGTTAGGTATTGTGAGGGGAGATAGCTTGCAATTTTATTTATAATATTCTATTTTTACTTATGTAGTCTCTGAAATTTTTGCATTTTAAAATAGAACCCATCATTGCTGATTCATAGTTACAGGAATATTTTAATAAAACATATGCTGCTTCCTCCCCCCCCTTTTTTTTTTCTTTTTGGGTTAACAGGAAAGTAAAGCATTTAAAAAGGAAAGTAGTTCGGTGAAAGCAGGATGTAAAATGACTTTTGAAGGTGGAAGATTTGGGGAATATTCATCTGTGAATTGGGAACTCCATGGGAAAAGGCAAGAGGTCATTAATAATGAAATTATACTAAGAGGCATGAAAAGTTTTGATGGTCTAGATTTGGTGAGGCTAGCAAGAGAGAAGAGAAATTAGACACACTACCAAAAGAAAAAAGTGATGAAATAAGG